TGATAACTTCTTTGTATTTTTCATTGTTGAAAATATAACATTTATTTATTAATATATTGGTTATTTTTTTAAGTATTCAGATTTGTTCTTGCAAGTTTGACTTTGGGAGGGGTCTCCTGATGCCCCTCACTACGAATATCTCACTCTGGGGGTCTCACTATGCAGACTGGCCTGGAACGCCCAGTGATCCTCCTGCCTCAGCCTCCTGGGTGCTGATTACAGGTATGTGCCACCATGCCTGGCTCAAATTTACTTATTTTAGTTTCTTCTTTTACATTTTTAGGTTGTTGTGGCTTGAGGTTTTTTCCTACTTATGATTTAGTTGTAGGTCATGGTGATGCAAAGATCAATTAAATATTGAACAGCTGCTTCATGCCAGGTACTCCGAGCCTTTTGTTACAACGGTCACATAAAGTGAGTTCAGTTGCTATCCCCATTCTTAGAGAAGTGGAAGCTAAATTTGCTAAAGGTCATCGAGCAATTAACAGTGAAAGGAGAGTTAAGAATCTGGGCTCTGGATTCCACAGCTGCGACCGCTTGCCTGTGGCTCCCCGCTGCCCAGGGCGCCTCCGAGCGGCTCAGGGCCTGGGCCTTGGGTAGCGCTGACGCGCTGCTCGCCCTGCCAGCAGGGGGCGCCAGCAGCTCTCCCATCTAGTCCTGGGGCGGCTCCCCTTCCCCAGCTCAGCTTCTAGGAGGTTTCTGCCCCTTTAATGAAGCAGGGCTCCAGCTGCAGGCTGCCTCCTAGGCTTTAGGACAAGAACCCTCCCAGCTGGCCAGCACCTGCCCTGCAGACAGCTCCTGCCTGCGCGACTTAAAAGGTGTCACACGGAAACGAGAGATGCAGAGCTTAACCCATCCTCTCCAGGCTCTTGGAGACCTTCAGCAAGACTGGAAAAAGGAAAGAAGCCTAGGGAGGGCTGTCCATTCTCCAGGGATTTGATTTTTTTTTTTTTTTTTTTTCGGAACCGGGGATTGAACTCAGACCTTTGCGTTGCTAGGGAAGCACTTATTCCACTGAGCCATCTCTCCGGCCCCACCCCAGGGATTTTTAAAAGCCAAACCACAATCAGACTCCAAGGAAAATGTGCTCAGGGCAAGAAACCCATAAGGATGGGAGATGCAAGTTGAAATCCTTAGCTTAATATACGAGTACAACCCACCTGCCAGGGCCTTCCCCTGGCGGCAGCAAGTGCAGGAAGGAGATCTTCATCATGCAGACGGTCCCTCTCCCCACGCCCACCCCGTGGCTCTACCCAGCTCCCACGCGCCGCCTCCCTCCCGGTGGCTCTGCCAGGCTCCCACGCACCACCTCCGGTCCGCATCTTGTGGAGGACACCTTGCTGCCCAGACCCAGTTTCCTCATCTCCCACCCCAGGCTGGGCCTCTGTGCCCACAGCCTCCTGTCCTTGGGGCCTAGGCACACGTGAGGGTCCTAAGGGTAACGAAGCCCCAGCCCCTTGTAAGACAGGCTCTCTGAGCTGAAATTTAAAATCCTCATGCCTCAGCCTCCTACGTAGTGGGGATTACAAATGTGCACCCCTGCCCCAGCTTCATCCCTTTTACACCCTGGTTCCAGTCACATTTAGGCATATATATATATATATATATATATATATATATAATCAGGGTCTCCCTATGCAGCTCAGGCTGGCCTTGAGTTCACTTTGTAGCTCAAATTTGCAACAATCTTCCTGCCTCAGCCTTCCCAGTGCTGGGGTTATAGGCATGCACCACCATCTCCACCCATGTATTTTTTGTTGGCATCTGCAGTGGGCCGAATAATCCTGCAATGTATCTGTCCCAGTCCCCAGAACCTAGTGTGCTATGCAGAGGATTTTTAGATTAAGAATCACCAGATAGGCAGGCTCTTCTGGTTTTACTGTTTGAGCCCAGTGAAACCTCAGCAGTGGTGAGGGGATGGGACAGAAGCAGTGTCAGGTAATACAGCACCAGCCAGGGGACATGGCAGCCTCCAGGAGCTGGGCAGGGACAAGGAAAGGGTTTCCTCAGGTGCCTCAGGGAGCAAGAGGGGCTGTTCCTATCCCTATGTGTGCAGGACCCATTTTCCCAGAGCTGCCATAAACATGAGTTATTTAAGTTGTAACAGAAAATGCTGCCCCAGCCAGTGTATTTTGGTCTCTTAGGTGCCCAGGTAACAGTCCTGTTCCAGTTCCGGTTGCTCCTGTCTGCTAGAAGCAGCTGGTCACTGGGACGCACAGTGCATACACCAGTCCCCACTGGACAAGCCATGCTGCCTCTGAACTTCCTGCATGCATATCCCATGTAAGCCCGAGACCACGAGAGATCAGGGCCTGGTATTCTGGCAATGGTCCCAGTCAGTTCCAACCAACATAAATAAATCTGCCTCCAAATCCTGGGTGTTGTTTCAGTGTTTCTGCTTGTCATGGCGAAGCCCCTGACCCTGAGGTAGCCTGCAAGGGCAGCCATGGAAAGCCAGGCAACTGCACGGGGTGGGAGCAGCAGCAAGCTCCTGCTCCACCTGCAGTGAGGTTACCTTGGCTCTAGGCCAGATACCACCTCTGAATAAAGTGGGGCATGCAGTCCCTGCTGTTCCTGAGCCCCTGCTAAGTTTGTCCACTCTGTGTCTGCGTTGTTTGGAAAATGAGGGGTGCTGGGAACCACAGGTCCTCAAGACCACACTGCTTCATGGTGAGCACACAAGCAGCGTCAGCGACCACTGTGGCCGCTGTTCCAGTGATGGAAACTAGAACCAAACCAGATTTCCACCACTTCAGCCCAGAATGAGCCAAATGCCCGACGTAGGCTACCTCCTCCGACATCCATGTCGTAGGACGCCGCGCGAGTAACTGAAGTTGGTCCCAGCAGGAGTATTTCCATCAGAGAAACCAGGACGCCGCTTCGCCGGGCTGTTTAGGGTCTCCCAGGAAAGCCATTACCCAGATACCTCTGCGGCTTTCTCTTCATCTCTCAGCACTTCAAGGCCTTTGGCAAACAGGGACCCATGCTCGGAAAGAATCAGATTGGCTGCTCTTATCACTTAAAAAGTGATCAGCCAGGTATGGTACAATCCTGGTGCCCGAGGAGACTGAAAAAGGAAGGTGCCAAGTGTCAGGCCAGCCTGTGCAATGTACTGAGACACTGTCTGAAAAAATAAAAAGGGCTGGAGGTGGAGCCCAGCGTGAAGGCCTTAGGTTCAATCCCCAGTACTGGAGGGAGAGCGAATGGCCAAGCTTTCAGCTCTCCTGTGTCCTGGATGCATCAGACCCGGCAGCTGGGAGAACTGAAGCCAGACACCAGACCAGCGGGGGGAGAGGGGGTCCTTCGGGTCTCACTGCTGCACGATTCCTGCCGGTGTGTCCCACCTCAGGGTCCCTCACTCCTGCGACCCTTGGTCACAACCAGAGTCAGCAGCGTAACATACCTGACGGAAAGACACCGAGCACTGCTAGGGCAGGATCTGAAAGCGCCGTGCTCAGGACCAGTTCAGGAAACCGCTGTCTTGGGGCTGATTCTCCAAGGCCTCTCAGTTTTACCCATCTGTTTGAAGCGTGGGTGAAGAACAATCTCTTTTTTATTTTTTATATTTTGAGTCAGGGCCTCCCTATGCAGTTCAGGCTGGCCTTGAGCTCACTTTGTAGCCCAGGCTGGTCTCAAAGGCACAATGATCCTCCTGCCTCAGCTTTGCGAGTGCTGGGATTACAGGCGTGCGCCACCATGCCCAGTTAAGAACGATCTTGGGTGACAGACGATGTCTCTTTCTAGAGCAGAAGTCAGGCAGGCTACAAGCGTTTCCTAAGCCACACGATCGCCATGTGGTGGTGCAGGCGCAGCACTCTGAGGCGGGGCAGGCAGACCTTGAGTGTGAGGACAACCTGGACTCTCAAAGCATAAGAGACAAAGGTTTCCTAGGCAGTGGCTCCCCTGTGCCGTGCACTCGCTGACTGCACTCGCAGGCGCAGCCCAGCCTCTTCCCACAGCCTTGGAGCTGAGGCTCAGGAGCCACAGCAAAGGCTGTCTTCTGCCTGGCGCCTCTGCTAGGGGTAGCAGGCCACCTTTCTCCCTGACCTACAAGTCCCATCATCTCTGCCATGGATCCATGCCAGGATCCAGCACCTTGGCATGCTGCTTTGTTTGTTGGGAGGGTAAAATCTCAGGCCCTGCTCAGGTCTGATACCTGAGCACCGAAGGTCCTCTCTGGGAAGAAGAGGAGGCACCTGGGGGCAGAAAACTGCTCAACCCAGGGCAGCCTGGAAGCCGAGACAACAGGCGGGGCTGGGACCAAGGACGCTCCTCCAGGTCACACCCCCCGCCGGGTCACCCCCCGATCAGCCCCTTCCTCACAGCTGTGAGATCTGCGTGAGTTCACACATCCCTAAGTGAAGGACGCACAAAGTCATCACTGTCCAAAGGTGATGAGACATTTGGGGGGCATTTCAGATCTAACCTTCTAAAAAAATGTTTTTATAAGGGGCTAGAAATAGCTCAGTAGAATAAATGCTTACCTGGCAAGCACTAGGTCCTGAGTTCAATCCCTGGTACCACCAAAAAAATTTTTTTATGTATTTGGTACAGGGTCTCACTATGCAGCTCAGACTTGCAGTAATCCTGTCTGCAGCCTCCCCAGCACTGGGATTATAGGCATGCACCACCGTGCCCGGTCTTGGTGGCCAGCTCAGTGTGCCTGCGGTTGGGGCTGGCATGGCATATGGTGCCAGGGATTGAACCCTGGTCCCTGTGCGTTCCTAAGCAGGTGCTTAGTCTGCTGAGCTATCTCGCCAGCCCTTCAGATCTAACCTTGACATCCACGTGTTTCTTTACAACTGAGAGCCCACAAAAGGAACACAATCCAGCTTGCAAAGCTGTCAGCTCCCCCGACCCACACATGACTCGGAAGCATCATTGTATCAGAGAGCAACTTAGTGGCCCACAGAACAGGGAGGCTTTATTGCTGTGATACCTTAAATCATTTTATAGTAACTGAGTAAACTTACAGTAAAAGAAGGAACACGGGAAAATAATTTCACTATATAGCAAAACACGTATGAACTTTAATTCTTATACAGAAATTTTCCACATCTGTCCAGTCTGGGCCCAGAACGATGGATAGCTAGTATATTCCACTCACTTTTTTTCCTATTAAAGTTGCTGGGAAATTAGGACTGATTTGTGGCACAGGAAAAGCAAAAAACCTGGTTTCCTGGCAGAGTTTCACAACAGGCATCAAGTAACCACAGTGCAGGTGAACTCACTCCTTTCTCTGTGAGGGTCACAGCGCCTGTCACCTGTGCAGGCCTCAGAGACGACTCGCGACATCCTCTCACAGACTGCAGAGGACGGTGAGCCCAAACACCCTCTCTGCTCCTAAGGATTTTGCTTTTTATTCCCCGAATGTGACCCCAGCCCACGGAAACAAGGTGCTGATGGTGCCGGGAGGTGACCCGAGCTCCTCTGTTGTTCTCGCCAACCAGGGAAGTGACCGATTCCCATCCTGCAGCAGGCACAGGCGGCGGGCCGGTGGGGACGGCAGGGCCTCCGGAGGCAAGTCCGGGGCACAGCGCTCTTCACCAGGCACGGAAGGGCCTGACATCGCCGAGTGAGCGGGAGGAACCCACAAGGACAGGCTGGGTCAGCCGCTGCTTTCAGATGACGCAGGCGCTTTACAGATTCCCAAGTTGGGCAGAGAAAGCGCATGAGGGAGTGTGCTACAGGATACAGCAAAGCAAGGAAGAAGGCTGCCGTCTGGCTTTGGGGCCTGGCATCGGCCTCGGTCCTTGTTTCATCTTAGGTCCAGGAGCTGCACGGGAAACGCGGAAAGGCTCTCTGCTCTATTTTTTAAAACAAACCCGTTATCCTGGTCTACCAGGACCTTCTGTTTTCTCCCTAGACATCCATAAATACAAGCTCGTTACAGTTCTATCTGGCTAATAACTTATAGAACATTTACAACACCAGACAGATGAGCGCCTCTTCACCGCTTCTGCTCAGGGGCCTGAGACGGAGAAGCCTGGGAATTCTGCTCCCCGCCCTGCCCGGGCCTCAGCAGGGAAGCGGACGAGCAGGGGGGCGCACCCTGCTAGGACTTCCAGGACGGCTGGAAAATCCTTTATTGCTCTTTTTCCACAGTCTAAAATGCTATATTTGCAAACACAGCTAAATTACCTCAATCAAGGCTACTTTAAAAATTTCATTACAAAAATTAGTCACCGAGTCTTAAGCTAGTCAATCAGCAAAAACACCCAAGTAATTCTGGGGTGGGCTAGGGTCCCAGGGTTTCCCTTGCTCCGCCCGTGAGCGGGGACCCTGTTCTGGGGCTGGTTGTACCAGCTGGCCTCCCCTGGCTGGAGGCTTTGCTGGGAAGAGGGGAGCCCAGCCTCAAGCCCCTGTGACCATGGGTTTTCAGGGTGCTTGGCCTGGGCACAGGAAGCTGGGAAGTGACACTGGGCCAACAGAGTCCACAGCATGGACCTCATGAAACTAACAAAGGCCATCCATGTGGCCATGGCACACTCCTACCATGAAATGGCTATGAGGGGAGTAAGCCTATGGGCGGCAGGGAGCCAGGCCATGGGAGAAGTCTGTGCCACATATGCCCAGGGCTCCAGAGACAGCCCCCCTCCATGGATAAGAGAAGATGCAAAATGCACACTTCTGTCACCATGCCCAGTCCCCCTGCCTCACCCGAGCCATGCCCAGCAAGCCACAGCCCTGACCACTCTTTTTTCCCTGCACAGCAGTTATTCCCATTTAACAGGCCAAGGAGTGCGACTTCTGGCTCAGCAGGGTGGCTTGCAGGACAAGCGCCACTCCAGTGCAGAGGTGGTCCTGACGTCTTGCCGGTGTCTCTCTCCCTCAACCCATGGTCCCCAGAGCCAGCCTGCAGAAGTGCAGAGGTCCTCGTGCTAAACCCCAATGTTGGTCACAGTATTAGCCAGCTGGCTCTGAGCGTGAAGGGATGGAGGGTCCCCGAGTCCCCCGCGATGTCACTTTTTCCTCCAGCTGCAATTTGGCGAAGCTCTGTCTGAGGTATTTTGTGTGTGGGGGAAGACTGCAGATGCAGAGAAACAATGGAAAACAAAAGTCACAGGAAAGCTGGTACCTGATGGGGGCTCCCCCAGCATTAAGGGCTGGGCCAAGATGAGGGCGGGGGAGGCCTCAGAACAGATGTCACTCCTCCTCCTGGGCTGGCTCAGCAATCGGTTTGACAAATACACTCCTTGCCTGAAGGAGCTCACTGCTCAGTACATGTGCAGAGTCCCATCCATGCTGAATGTGGTGGCCCACACCTGTAATCCCAGCACTCTGGGGAGGCTGAGGCAGGAGGATCGCTTCGAGTTTGAGAACAACCTAGGCTATAAGAGTGAACTGAAGCCTAGCCTGATCTACATATCCAGACCCTGCCTCAAAAAGACAAAAAATAAAAGTCCTTCACTAAATAAGCTCAGTCAGGTCCCAGAGGCATCCTTACTTGGAACCCAGAGACCCGGAGACTTGTCCCTCGGGACCCACTCCCAAGCCACAGAGTCGAAAGCTCCGATCCAAGCAGCACCGACAGGTGGGTGAGTCTCGGTGCCCGCACCGAGGTCTTCTCTCCAGGAGGGGGCTGGGCGGGGCAGGACAAGCCTGTGCCAGGACCCAGGGTTGGAGGACATCTCGGGACCAGGGATGCACTGCACAGTCGGAGCTCGCTGAGCTCAGACCCAGGCTCTGTTTCCCAGCCAATCCTTCCAACACAGAGCCTGCGTAAGAGCTTCCTTCTCGCCGACACAGTGCAAGTGTGAGGCGGTCCAGAGGCAGCTTGAGGTTGGGCAGAATCTGCGCTTGTGCCCTGGGGGAGAGGGTCCCTGGGTGAGCCAGGGCTGGCATCTCTGCAGCTCAGCTGTCCCTTCAGAGGGTGCCACAGCGGAGGTTGTGTTGGTGCACACACACACACACACACACACACGTGCAAGGATTCCTGAGTAACCCACCTGAGCCAGGAAGGGGGGTGGTGTGGAAGGCACTGGGGACACGTGTGGCCTCCCTGGCTGAAGGTGACCCTCACGCACACAGGGACACCCACCCTCTCCTCCCTCCACTGGATCCCAGCCAGGGGCACCGGAAGTCACAGGCAGACGTCGCCTAGCTCCTCTTGCCTGCCAGCTGGGCTAGAAGTGGCGCTGGTGCAGACTGGTGGCCGGGGGCCCCTTGTCCAGCCTCGTCACGTGGCACGTGTGGCAGAAGAGGCGGTCTTCCAGGGGGTAGCAGCGGCGACCGTCTTCATCGTTAAGCTCCAGGCCACAGTCCTGGGGGCGGCAGGAGGATCAGGGGGCTCGAAACAGAACCCACTCCAAGGTGAGACGAAGGCTACTGCCCCGGCCCCAGCCAGCACCCACCCGGGGTGAGTCAGGGGGCGTGCAGCGAAACATCCCCACGATGCTCTTCTCCAGGCCTGTGGGGTCCCCCCCAGCCACAGGTACCACCCATTTCTTTGGCACTGGCGGGGGACCAATCTGCATATCACCCACACTCCCTGTCCTCCCTGCAAGGTGGCAGAGCAAACCCGATCTCTTCCCCTCACAAATCCACAGGCTTCCTTCCCAGGACTTCCTTCCCAGTGGGGCGGCCACCAGCCTCCTGGACATTTGGGGCTCAGGGGCTCCTTGGCCTGGGACACAGCACAGCCAGAGAAGGGCAGGTGGGACGTTCGCACCTGTCCATAATCACCCTCCCAGACAGGCGAAGCCCTCACTCCCCACAGCCCGCAGCTCTGTGGCCTCAGGGAGGGCAGAGTGAGTTTGAGGATGACTTCCCAGCTCTGTGCATCTTTTGGGTTTTGTAGTCTGGGGATGAGAACCCAGGGCCTTTGCTCTAAACAACATCCCCAGACCTTCTATTCTTATTTTGAGACACGATCTTGCCAATTAAGTTGCCCAGATTGGGCTTGAACTGGCAATCCTCCGGCCTCAACCTCTCAGAGTGCTGGGGTCACAGATGTGCTCCACCATGCCCGGCCCAGCTGGGGATGTGCAGAGAATGGCCTTTGTGGCCGGGGCACCTGCCTCATCCCTGCCTCCCCACACCAGCTCTGCAGGGCTGAGCCCCCCAGAACTTCCTGGACTTCTGGGAGAGGCCGGGTGGCGGGGCCTACCTCGCAGCGGTAGCACTCCACATGGTAGTCTCTGTCCATGGACACTACACGGACTGTCTCATCTGAGCCCTGGGACAGAGAGAAGGCAGGATGGGCTGAGAGGCCAGGGAGGGACCCGTCAGGGGCCACGGGGCAGGGAGGGAAGAGGCGGTGTGATGGGAGACTCAGGAGGGGATGCAGGCAGTGGTGGCCACCGACACATAGGGGAAAGATTGTACGGTGAGGCCTAGGAGAGAAGCAGCCCCTGCTGAGCACCAGCCAGCACACAGAAGAGGACCCATGGGACATCTCATCTTAAACACTGTAGCTGGGCCCAGTGTGGTGGCACACAGCTGCCAGCCCAGCACTCAAGGAGATGGCTGTGTTGTTTTTGTTTTGTTTTGTTTTGTTTTGGTTTGGTTTGGTATTTAGTCCAGGTCTACAGGGTCTCACTACGTAGATCAGACTTGTAGTGATTCTCCTGTTTTCAGCCTCCCAAGCACTGGGATTACAGATGTGCACCACCATGTCCAGTCTCAAACGCGTCTCAGTGCACCAGGGGCGGGGCCAGCACAGCACACAGGGGATCGAACCCCGGGCGCTGTGCTCTGCCTACGCAGACACTTTAATCTGCTGAGCTATCTGGCCAGCCCTTGGCTGTGAGTTTTGAGGCCAGCCTGGGTTACAGGGTGAGTTCAAGATCAGCTTGGATTCCAGTGTGAGTCCCTGTCTCAAAAACTAAATTAAATGGTGGGGTGGGGGAGTGAAACACAAGCTTTACCACTCCTCTCTAACCTACGTTATGACACAGCCTGCCCTGCTGAAGGACACCCAGGAGCAGGGCAGGGGCCAGGGAAGCCGGCTCGTGACACCCCTTCCCTCAGCATAGGCTGGGCAGGGTGTTCTGGAGGGTGCAGGGCCAGAGGGAGGCTGAGGGGGCCTGGGAGACAGCAGGCAGGGGTGACCCGCATCTCACCTCGGGCGGGAGGATGGGGAGCCGGCAGGACGCACACTTCGGGGCCAGCACCCTGCGGAGGAACACAAGTGGGAAGACAATGGGGCGGATCCCAAGGCAGAGGCTGAGAGCAGCCCTCCAGCCTGCAGGAACGCAGAACCCAGCCCTCCCTCTCTCCCACGGAATGGGCTGTGGGGCAGCTGGCTCCTGGGCTGTCCCCAGCCAGAACAAGGCCATGTGGCTGTCTCTTGCTGCACGTGAGGGTACTAGCCCAACCTCCTGGGGCCTCAGCCACACAAGCCTGTGAAGCCTGGGAAAGCAGGGCCACAGGCTTGCCTGGCTCCTCCCAGGCCAGGCTGCATGGGAACTCTGCCGACAAGTATTGTCAGTTTTGTTTTTTTTTTGTTTTTTTTTCCTTGCACTAAATGTGACTTTTTAACCAGTTCCTGTCTCAGCAGCACAGACCCCTCCAAGTCTGGGGCAGCCCTGAAAGCCACTAAGCCTCTGCCCAAGCTGGCTGCTCATGTGGTTCCCAGTGCACCCCTCCATACTTGTGGTAATCTCGGACACAGTAGATCTTGTTCTCTGAGTCCACGGTGAAGGGGACCCCGTCCAGACACTCATTACAGATGACACAGCGGAAACAGCCAGGGTGGTAGGACTTCCCGAGGGCCTGCAGGATCTGGGGTATCAAGGAAGAGAGATTAAGAATAAGTAGGGGCTACGAGGAGGGGTGGGACAGTACACAACAGAGGACTGTGTGGGCCACAAGGTGGAGCAGGCTCCTCACCATTTCACTAAGACAAAGACCATGAGGGGTGAGAAAGCTGGCCTGCCTGCTCAGGCTCGTAGACAGTTGGACAGAAGTCCCCTCCTATCACCTCCTGTGGGCACTCACTGGGAGGGAACGAAGGGCTCCGATCCACAACCCACACCTGGAGGAGGAGCTTTGCCTTGAAAGATGGTGGTGCACATCTGCGATCCCAGCACCTGGGAGGCTGAGGCAGGAGAATCAGTCTGGGCTACAAAGTGAGTTCAAGGCCTGCCTGAACTGCACAACAAAAATAAAAAGCAAAAATCTCTCCCAAAACAGGTAGAAAGGAGATAGGAGAGGCTAGGGATATATAACTCAATGGCATACCGACTGCCTGGCAAATACAAGGTCCTGAGTTCGATTCCCAATACCAAAAATAAAAGATAGGAAATTACAATTAAAAACAAAAACAAAAACAAAAAAACCCTGCAGCTCCAAGACCCAATCAGAGACACCCAAAGTTACAATGCCTTTACAACCTGACACCTGTGTGTTTTTTCCAAGTTCCTCACTCCTAAATTTCTAGGAGTCTTAAAGGTACAGCATTGTGAATGGACACACTTGGTCTATGCCTTCCTATATATACACAAGTATTTCCACCCTCAAAGAAGAAACAGTATTAAGTAGGTGCTCCAGCTCCATGGTTGCCTTTGTGGGAGGGAATCTCAAGCAGAAGGAGAGGCAGATGTCCCACGTCTGTTCGGAGTGTCACATGGGTAAGGGCCCACACAACACCGCCCCTGGCCACACACCTAAGGTCTGCACCTTTTGCTCTGAGTTATTTCTCAATAAACACACCAAAGCAGGCTGTGGTGGGGGACACATAGAACCCCAGCCTTTGGGAGGCTGAGGCAGGAGGACTGCTGTGAGTGCAAGGCCAGCCTGGAGTGCACACTGAGAACCTACACAAAACCATACCAAAGCCCCAAAAAAGTGTAAGAAAAAAAACAGCAATGACAACCAATCCTCTTCTCCAGGATGGAATTAATGGGTGAGGAAAGAGAGGATTAATGCTTCCTAACTAAAAGCATGTAACACGATCATTTCCTCTAATCCTTTTATTAAAGAGATTCTTACAGGTAGCTTCCAGGGGTGAGCAACTTGAAGCCCTACTCATGAACCTGACAACCCGATTAGAAGGAAACTGCCCTCACTGAAGACACGCAGGCACTGACTGTGGCCCAGGGCAGCCCCAGCCAGGGGCTGAGCCAGGCAAGGGACGTGTCACCGCAGGCAGCTGAGAACTTAAGAGACAGGCCTTATGCCCACCTCAGGAGCGGCCTGCACAGGGCAGGACGTGGGAAAAACGGCCATGTTCCCCAACCCTGCGCTGAGATCCCAGGAACGCAGACGAGTCTGCACAGAGAAGCAGGCCCAGCCGGGCGCAGCGAACAGCCCGCGGGGAGAGCAGAGACCTCTTTCTGTGAAACCAGCTGCCACCACAAACCAGGAAGGAAACTGCTGTGCTATTCATTTCTTTCTTCCCTAAATGCCTCCTCCCCCTTGCAAGAAGCTGTGATTGCGTCCAGCCCACGCTACTCACCATGTCCATGATCAGATGTCCACAAAGAAAGCACCTGTCGGCAGACTGCTGGAAGCCCGAGTACTGCAGGGAGGAAGGAAGGAAAGTTACGCCCAGGCGGGGCACGAGTCAGCCGCTTCCCCACCAGCCAAGACGATGAGAGGGAACTATGAGGAAGATGTGTCACACCTTGCAGTCATCTGTCATCTGCCCCAGGGTGCGGGGACTGTGCGCTGACTCATGGACTCTCCTCTGGCCACACTGCACACAGCAGCATCACTCTCACCTCAGTAGCTGGCTATGGGCAGCCACAGAGTGCTGGGCTGCAAAGGAAGCTGCACTCAAAGAGCCCTTGTCGCACCGGTTCTCAGAGGAGCTCCCTGGCACCACCTGGAAGCTCGTGAGAACCACAAGCTCGGGCTGGCAAGTTAGCTCAGTGATCTAAAGCGCCTGCTTAGGCAAGCTTAGGCAGGCACAGGGGACCGTGGTTTGATCCCCGGCACCATATGCTGCGCCAGCCCCAACCTCAGGGTGGGCTGAGCCAGCCACAAAATAAAAATAAATATTTAAAAAAAGAACCTCAGGTTCATGAGCCCCAAGTCAGACCTATTAAACTGGAAGTTCAGGGCTGGGGAGATAGCTCAGTAGAATAAGCACTTGCCTGGCAAGTGCAAGGGCCTGAGTTCAATCCCTGGTTCCAAAAAAAAAGGAAGTTCAGGTTTTCTGCATTTTCACAAGTCCTTCGGGGATTATGATGCATGCTGAAGCTTGAGGTCAATTGTGAAACCCCTAAAACAACTGTAAGTCATATGCGGTTATCCTGATTTGTCAAATGGATGCAAAGAAAGCTCTGAGAGGACTGGGGAGATAGCTCACCGGACTAAGTGCCTGCCTGGCAAGCGCAAGGACCTGGGTTTGATCCCCTGTACTTCCCCGGGTGCACTGTGCTGGCCCTGAAACCGGGCATGGTGGCACATGCCTATAATCCCAATGCTGAGGAGGCTGAGACAGGAGGACTCACAGACTATGAGTCTGAGCTGCGTAGTGAGACCCTGTACCAAATATATATATAT